ATCACAGGACTGGCCAAACTATGAAAAAAAACAGTGACTTATAGTCCGGAAAATATGGTACTTGTACATAAACTGGCCACCCCTATCATTTGAGGAAACTATGCTTTCTAGTTTTAACATTGCTTAAAAGTAAAGTTTCTTCAAATGATTGGGGTGGACAAAGATTAATCTATGGTGGCCAAGGCCACCATTGGCCACCCCCTGACTCCAACATTGCACCTGGTGGTGGATAAAATTGCTCCTTACACCCACCATGATCCATTCCTCAGACATTTCCCTCAGACAAGCAAAAAAAAACCTGCCTTTCTGTTTAAACACAGAGTAACCCTTTAATGTTTTGCATCAAAAACATTAAGGTTCACTTACACTCCCGGTTCCATTTCAATCCAGAAAAACAGCAAATATTCTTTATTCAAACCTCTCAGCCGCAGGAAACATAAACATTTTGACCCATTTTTTATTTGCAATAAAATTCACACTTTCTTCACGTTACAGCGGTTATGAAAGTGAAGTTCTGTCGTGTTTTCGTGTTTCAACATCTGAGCAGTTCTTTAGAAAAATGATGAAGTATGATGAAATGTTCTTGACTAAAGTGGCCAGATTTGTAAAAACCTTGTCACACTAAGCACAGCTCAGTGTTACTTTCAGTTCCTGTTGTTTTATTTTTCCCTGTGCTGCAGTCCCACAGCTGAAACCAACAGGCGGCTGACCGTCAACGAGATGTACCTGGTGGACTCCGGTGGCCAGTATCTGTGAGTAAAAACACTCAGGCCTTCTTCAGGTATCACTTCCTGTCTCCTGTGGTTGAAATGAATCACGTTCTTTCTCAGAGACGGCACCACTGACATCACTCGGACGGTCCACTGGGGAACACCGACAGCCATGCAGAAGGTGACATTTACGATGAAAGGATATTTACCTGAACACTAAACTGTGCATTTAAATAATTGTGTTTTGCTTCACAGGAGGCCTTCACTCGAGTGCTCATGGGAAACATTGAGATATCCAGAACCATTTTCCCCTCAGGAACAAGTGGTGAACAGAACATTTTAAAGATTGTTTTCTCTGGAGGGTGTCCCTGTGTCACCACTAGAGAGCCTTCTTCCTCCACATTTCTGCTGCAGGATGTCTGATCTCTTCCTTTTATCTAACAGGTGTGAGCATGGAGATGCTGGGTCGCAGGGCTCTGTGGGAGGTGGGCTTGAACTACGGCCACGGCACGGGTCACGGTATCGGAAACTACTTTGGAGTTCACGAGTGTAAGGCTCAGCCCTTGTTCATCAGGATTCTGGTACAAAATCAATACAGCAAACAAATGCAGAGATGTTTGAAAGCATTTGGAAAAGTCCAACAAAGTTAGTACGAAAGTCAGGTCATCTAGACGGTCTCTTTTTTGTTTGTTAACACATTTCATCCTTCATCCAGAGGACTTCATCAGTCCGAGGAGCCACAACAATCTGAGTCCCACAAGCTGAACACTCACATAGTGGACCAACCAGTTTGCTGGTGATAAGATGGTTTCTGGTGTTCGCCCTCTCCCCTTCAACTCCTCTGAAGCAGCCATGCCCAAAGTGGTTCAAAACAACAAAGCTCATGCTCAATAATCCAGGTAAAAAAAATCCAACAAAGTTAAGTCAGGTCATCTGGAAGGTTTTGAAACACTTTGGCCATGGCTGCCTCAGAGGAGTTGATGCAGGAGAGGGCGGACTCCAGAAACCATCTTATCGCCATCAAACTGGTTGGCCCACTATGTGTGTTGCTTGTGAAACTGAGTTTGTTGTGGCTACTCAGACTGATGAAGTCTTTTGGATGAAGGACGAAACGTTTCAACAACAAAACAAAAGTAACGGTCCAGATGACCTGACTTAACTTTGTTGGATTTTTTACCTGGATTATTGAGCATGAACTTTGATATTTGGGAAAGTATTTCTGCAAACTTGAGATTTTCTATTAACCTGAAGTCTTTCAGAGAGCGGGGCAGGAAACTGAGCATGCAAGCGGTGCAGATGTGTGAGAGCACGTTTCAGTTTGCAACTAAACCACTTGTGATGTGGTGGCATTACTAAATACCAAGAATTTTTTTTTTAAAAAGAGCAACAAAATTATCACAGTGAATTTATTGTGATCGATTTTATCTTGTTTGTGTATTAAACTCTTTACTTAAAAAAAATCATGTTTGTGCAAGGTCACAGAAAGTTTATAAAAATTTAACTCATTTAATTAAGAAGTTAAACTAATATTGCTTTCTTAAATTTACTTGAGGTGAGCATAAATTAAGAAAACACACTTTCAAAAAAATAAGCACAAAAATAACATTTATTAAAAATTGATTGTCAATATGTTTAAAAAAATAACAACTTTGTCACTTTAAGGTGAAGTTGTGTTTTTTTTTCTCAAGGTTGAAGCTAAAACAATCATTTTATTTCAGCTTCCAAGATACTCTGAAATTTTGTTTGACCTCTGACCTCCTCAGGGGCCTGATAATGTAATAAAAAGAGGAGAAACATCATGTAGGTGTGGGAGACCAGAGTTCACATCCCGTCAAAGATATTTATCTGTATTTTTTTTATACTTTCATCCTAAAATAGCACAAATTATGGTATGACACCTTCTGTCTGTCTTTAAGTCAGTGGGCAAATTTTTTTGTCTCTAAATGGATAACTCTTTAACATTATAAACATCAAACCACACAACTAGACACCTCATGGGTCAACAATGATCCCTATTGATATAAAAGCTGCAGGGTCAAAGGTCAAAGTCACAGGTGACCCTTTATTATAACTGGGTTTATGCTATAGTTGGACATCTGAGTAACAAATGTCCAACCATTTGTCCCCTAGATTGTCCCCAATTGTCCATCCATAGGACAGGACACAGTAAGTTGTCCACCACACCGCAAATGTTTAAAATAAAACGTGTCATCATACTTTGATGTTATTTTTATTAAGACCACTTCCACCAAAGAAATCTTGAGTAGTTCTGGTGAAGTCTGCTCTAATCCTAAATTTACTGCTGAACAAACGTGTCATTGTCAGTATTCTTGTTTTAATAAACCATGGTGAAATGTTATGGTTTATTTCAATATAAAACCAGATGTAGGCTTTTACAAAACTTTTACTTTTGATTAATTTTTGTTCCAACTTCAAAATAATCGTGGAGCATGAATGATCTTTAGGCTGATGTTGGTATAATCAACGTAAAAGGATTTAAAGGACCACTTTTATCAATTTATGGCCATCTTGTGTTCCTAAAAAGCACAATCTCAATGTTCTTACATGTTCCGTCTGGTTCTTAGTCAAAAAATAGTGCGGTTTTAAAGCAAAAACAAAAAAAAATACTTTGTTTTCACGTCTCCAAAGCTGAACACTGTCTGAGTAACGAGGCAGCAGCTCATGAGTTGGACGGAAACTTTTTGTCCTATTTTTAGAAGGGATAACTTGATTTCAAGGGATTTTATTTATTTTTATTTTTTATAGATTTACTTTCAAAAGTTCTCACATTTTGTTGTAGCTCTGCAGGAGCTTTACAAAATGTTACCTTTTATGAAATTTCCTTTAAATGAAAACCTGAAATTGCTCCTGAGCAGGAACAGCAGCAGCAGCACCAAACAGCTGGAATGATCATGACAGGACACATTTTTCTTTTTGTTGCTGAAATGCTTGATTGGTCATTTTTGGGGCAACAGTATGAAGATAATAAGAAGAGAAGACTTGTTTATTTTAATTTCTTCAGAACATATAATTTAAGCATCACCACTAACTTCACCTTGTCCTTCACTCTAACAATGAATTTATTTTGGAACATGATGTCACAGATTCTGATCCCAAACCACTGATTGATTTTTTTTATTTATTTAGTTTTAGATCTGCCGTTAAAAAAGCAAAACTTACAGAAGAGGAATTTAAAAGTAGATGCTAAAAGCAACAAATTTATCTTATGAGTCATCTACATTTCATTGACTACAAAAAATGTGACAACTTGTGGACAAAAGCCCAAATATCTCTAAACCTTGAACAAACAGTTTAAAAGAGGTACTTTGACACAAACATGTTTTAATTTTGTTGTTTGTTTGTTTGTTTTGTATTTTTCCAGGGCCGGTCGGCTTTCAGACCAACAATATCCCCTTCACAACCGGCATGTTCACGTCAATAGGTGAAACTTTTTTTTTCCTTTTTCTGAATAAATCCACGTCTACTTTAGGTAATACTAAAACATAACATTATTATCCTCCAAAACCTCTATAGTTTATTATTTTGGGAGCTAAACTTGCTTGGATAGATCAAGAATAGTGATATTTCATTTTCAAATGGGTTTCAGCACAAAATAGACTTTTTTTTTTTGTGATCGAATTTTTTTATTTTATTTTTTTTTACAAAAATGCTGCAGCCCTATTTAAAGAAAATGACCAAGTCTCCAGAGACTTTGAGGACATGGACTTTGCATTTCTCTACTCGGAGGTTTCAGTCATGTTTCTTTTGCAGAACCTGGATATTATAAAGAGAATGACTTCGGGATACGGATTGAAGATGTTGTCATGACAACACCCGCACACACACAGGTAGAAACAAAGATACTTTGTTGATTATTTAGCACAGTGGTACCCAGAGCTGGAGTCTAAAACCCCACTGAGGACTACAGTATGAAACACCAAGCAGCTTGAAAAGATTCAAAGAAACTTTTAAAATGGTTACCAATAGCATATTTAGCCTTAACAGCCCAAAGAAATAAACGAGCACTCATAAATGGGTACATTATTAAATGGCTTATTGGTAATACAGTATTTATTTACTTCATTTTTGAGCTTTTATTTTGTAAGTCAAGTCTAGAGCCACTGATCTAGAAAACATTAAAAGATGTATTTCCTAACATGATGTCCTGTCCCTCAGTTTGGACATAACTTTCTGACATTCGACACCGTCTCACTTGTTCCATACGACAGAAAGCTGATCGACACATCACTCCTCAGCTCAGAACAGGTGAGGAATAAACCGTTTTCAGTTTTAACAAATCAAACTTCTTTCTTTAAATGACACAGTTACTTTATTGTTGATATGCAGCATGAAAGAAGCCCTGTCACGTGACTTGATGTGAGCTCACTTCCGTACAGCGGCCGTCAGTTTCCTGCTCAAATTTGTAAATACCTTTGGCTTTACAAGAGTGAGATGCAGACCGCATGTTTCTTTTTCCTGCAGCTCGAGAGCCGGTTTCCTGTTAAAATCCCCATTTCACACATGCGGTCGGCGTCTCTCTGCAGCTCAGTGATCAAAACGAAGAAAAAGAAAAACAAAACCACGTGTGGAAACAACTTCTGTGTTTTGGCTCTCTTTTTTTACAAGCAGCTGAAGATGTTTTAAATATACAACGTGATGTCAAAAGATTAGGTTAACAGACTCCATGATTAACTTATCAAAAATAGTTCAATTACAAACAGTTCTACTTTATTATTAGTCAACTTGAGCATTATCAGATCCAAGCAAACAGTTACTGGAACGCACCCTGTCAAAATATCCAGATCCTGTTCTGGCAGGATCCAGGATCAAATTAAGCACTGCTTATAGATGAATATCAGCCTCAAATAATCATTATTATTGTTACCATCACCTAAAATCATCGTTCGTGTGACTGTACATTGTATTATTGTCATAAGATCATAGTCCCAGGAGTTCAACTTTTTGGAATGTACTTTATGTATTAATTATATAAATGTTATTTATTATTAATTATTATGTACAGGGGAATGGTGGTGCAGACAAAGGCTAGAGAAGGTGGGCCTGTGATTGGAAGGTCACCCGTTCAACTCCCCAAACCGACAACAGCAAAATGTGGGTGGGAAAGGTGAAACACCTGCCTCCACCCTCATTTGCCCCATGGGCCCTTGAGCAAGGCCCTTAACCCCCACCATTTGCACCCCTGGGTGCCCTAGATGGCTGCTCTTTGCTCCGTAGCTCAGTGGTCTGCGGTTGTGTCAGGAAGGGCATCCGGCATAAAAACAATTGCCAAGTCTTTGTGCGAGTTAGTTCGCTGTGGCGACCTCTGAAGAACGGAGCAGCCGAAAGAAGAAGAAAATGTATTATTATGTACTATTTTTTCTTTTTGCTTATAAATAGTTGTTTGGATTCATAAATTTGTAGGAAACTGATTTTTTTGGGGGGGATGAATAAGAATTGATGGAAATAAGGTCGGGCAGCACGGTGGCGCAGCTGGTAGAGCTGCTGCCTCTCAGCGAGCAGGTCCTTGGTTCAAACCCCGGTCCAGGGGCCTTTCTGGGTGGAGTGTGCATGTTCTCTCCATGCATGCGTGGGTTTTCTCCGGGTACTGCTCTTTCCTCCAACAGACCAAAAACATGCATGTTAGGCTGATTGGTAACTCTAAATTGTCCCTAGGTGTGAGAGAGAGAGTGAATGGTTGTTTGTCTCGTTTGTCTCTATGTGGTCCTGTGATGGACTTGCGACCCGTCCAGGGTGTACCCTGCCCCTCGCACAGTGATTGCTGGATATGGGCACCAGCGACCCCCGTGACCCAAAATGGAATAAGCGGGTAAAGAGGATGGATGGATGGATGGATGGATGGATGGATGGATGGATGGATGGATGGATGGATGGATGGATGGATGGATGGATGGATGGATGGATGGATGGATGGATGGATTGAAATAAGGTCACAGGAGAAGGAGAGGGCTACTATAAGTGTTTATTCCTTCTTATTCCTTTGAGTGTAGCAATGTTGTATATTAGTAAAGGTTTCTGTTGTTATCTGTTGTTACATTCAATAAATTTAACAAAGAAAAGAAAGAACTTTCAGCCACACCAGAAATCCAAAAACTAATTTTAATGTGACTGTTTTTGTACTTATTCTGCACATTTTATCACTGGATAGTGATCCATCCATCCATTATCTTTCCCCGCTTATTCCTTTCTGGGTCACGGGGGTCATTGGTGCCCATGTCCAGCCATCACTGGGCGAGAGGTAGGGTACACCCTGAACAGGTCGCAAGTCCATCACAGTGCCACATTGAGACAAATGAGACAACCAACTATTCACTCTCTCACTCACACCTAGGGACAATTTAGAGTTACCAATCAGCCTAATATGCACGATTTTGGTCTGTGGGAGGAAAGAGCAGTACCCGGAGAGAGAACATGCAAACTCCACCCAGAAAGACCCCCAGGCTGGGAACCAAATGGGTGACCTTCTCGCTGAGAGGTGACAACTCTACCAACTGTGCCACCGTGCTGCCATATGTAAAACTTGAGAAATTGTTCAATGACATTGTGAATTTTCTATCAACTGTGTGCTACATTATTTTAGGCCCTGTTTGCAGAACGCCATTTTTAGGTGAAACTGGAACTTTTTGGTCATCCGTGTACAAAACAATAGCAATAGTTTTTACCAACACTGAAGTTTTTTGAATCCCAGTCACAGTCGAATTGCCCACTGGAACTGTCCAAATTAACCCCTGCCCAGATTAAACCCAGGTATAAATGTTTAACCTATGCCAAACTATATCATCCATCCATCCAGTATCTTTACCACTTCTTCCTTGTCAGGTCATGGGGATCACTGGTGTCTATGTCCAGCTATCACTATGTGAGAGGCAGGGTACACCTTGGACAGGTCATATATCCATCACAGGGCCAGATTATACCCTAGGAGATAAACTGTTTTAAGCCAAACTATGCCCGGTGGTGTAAAGTAGCCTAGGTCAGACTATACCCCTCCAAGTCAGAATATACACATTTATGTACCTGTTATCTGGCTTGAGTAACCTAGGCCAATTCCTACCCCTCATACCAAATATTTAGAGTTTTAAGATTTAAGTCAGTTAACGTGGAACTTTTCCACAATCAGTATGGGAAATCACGTTTCCAGAGATCATTCATGCGTAAAGCGAGTCCCATTGAGTTCCAGTGACAGTGGTTTTCTCTCTCCAGGTTCAGTGGCTGAATAGATACTACAAGAAGATCCGGGACCTAGTGGGTCCCGAGCTGGACAAACAGGGTCTACATGAGGAGAAGAACTGGATGCTGAGGAACACGGAACCCTTTGGGTCTGGATCTTCTGCCGTGTGTTCGTCCTCCCTGACCCTTGTGACCCTGGTCATCGCTCTGCTCCACAACATGGTCTGAGAACCTCCCAACAGATTGCACCTGAACGTTACATCTATGCAATCCCTCCTCAGCAGCTAGAGTTTTTTAATTGTAAAATATATTTAATAATTAAATTATATGATTATACATGTGATTTTGTGCTGTTCAAAGTTTTAAATGATCTATTGTGTAATTTTTTTAAATGTTTTAGTTTTTGAGTGTTTGTATAACAGACTAATAGGATGTCTATTTTATTAAAGGAAAACATTTTAAAACACTGATATTTGCTCAAATTTTTTAAGCCTTTCATACAAATTACAGAAATCAAGGAAGGTAATAGTTTTATTGTATGAGTGAAAACAGACTAAACTTTGATTTTATTTAAACAGGATAAAGTAAATAGACATAAAATATTTCAGCTTATCACAAACAAAATGTATTAGATATTAATTAAAATAATTTCAATTGAACGCACAAAGTTGCTCCCATGTGAGTTGAACTTGGTGTCACTTTTTCTCCAAAGTATCATTAGAAACAACATTTAACATCATTATTTGATTGTTCATGTTCATTCACCCCACTCTTAACTCTTTTTAACACTTGTGAATTTTGAACACATTAAGCATTAACAAATAACACTAGTCTCTATTATAGACCTCAGTTTACTATGTTTTACACAAATAAGGCAAAAGCAGAAAAAATAAGGAAAAGGTCATGATCCTAGAGGTTTGGGGGATAATAACGTTGCATTTTATAGCTCATATGTCTGCCTGCACAAAAACACTAAACCGTTTTTTGTGTCAGAACACAGAAAATCCTAAAGAAAGAGGGTCAGTTTAGTCACGACTGAGGAAGTTACTCAGGATCTGAATCAAGGTCCGGTCCCAAATACACACATCAGACACAACAAGTCGAACCTTGCTGCTGTCAGCTGGTAGAAATGTGTTCAACCATAGACATATATACAGTATATGTCTAGTATATATACAGTATATGTCATATATACAGTATATGTCTATGTGTTCAAACACAATGAAAACAAATCCAGAATAAAACAGGAAACATTGCGCCATAGCGCCCCTAGTGGCCAAATCGCCAGTGCGTTTTTAAAAAAAATCTTCAAGAGGACTTAATCTGGCACTTTATTTGTATTTTATTCATTACTGGACGCAATGTTTCAGTTGATAAAATACAATTCTCAGTTATTATATATTAAATTTAAAGTTTAAAAAGAAATGTTTTATATTTTTTGGGGTATTTTATCACATCACAAAATCTCTTTACCAGGCACTTACTGTATGCTTGAAGTGTATTAATCTGATAAACCTCAAGACAACTTTTTGTGTTTACTTCAAATATTTTTAAACTTTTACACCTAAGCATCAGCCTGACTGAAAAGCTTTGACACATTTTTTCAGATTTTTTATTGTTTTTGTCCCTTTTGTGATGCACAGATCGAAGCGTTTGCTGCCAACTTTTAGTTGACAGGAAACTGAAGTAGGGCATCCTCTCATCATGTGGTTTTTGCACCACCAAAATACCAAGCTAAACTTTGCCTTGCGTTGAACTTCCCTGTTTTGCGCTCGATGTCAGTGTCTTCTGGACTTGTCCTGCAGGTGGAGTGAACAGTCAAACGCACACTCATGTCAGAGTCACTCAGGTCATCTGAGTTGTGTGTTTTTAATGTTTTTACTGCATCAGTTTGAGTCTGGCTTTGCGTCACATTCTTCTTAATAATCATTAAGTGTAAGAACATTTTTATGAAGGGGTAATCCAACCCTTAAAGAACAAATTGAGGTTTTGTCGTGATCTCCTGCAGCTGCAAAGTCGTTACAGTTTCTAAACATGTCATCTTTGGTCGTCTTTCACTTCCACACTTTAAATGTTCTCCCTGTGACTACAACCCCCTCTAAAAAAATGAGGCTGAGTACCATTAACAAACAAAGCTGAACAACTCAGGTGTTTTTACACATTTGTTTAGTGACAAATCTAATATACAGAATAATTTATAATAATTTGGATGCTAAAAATAGTTTTAGTGACTTAACATGATGAATTTGAGCATCTGGAGATTAGTTATTATCATCTGCTGCCAAAAGTAAAAGATGAAAATTAATGGTTTTGCCTTTGTTTGTCTGTTAGCAAAATATCTTCTTTTATGTCTTCTTCCTTTGACTGTTCCCTCTTTTGTAGTCACCATATTGAATCATCTTCATCTCACTCTGTCCTGTGTGCCTTCTGTCCTCATTCCAACTATCTCCATGTCCTCTCTAACTGCATACCTCCACCTCTCCAAGTTCTCTTCCACCTGTTCCCTGTTCTCATCACACATCAAAGTGCATCTGCAAACAGTATAGTCCACGGAGATTCCCAGGATGCACGTCTAAACCCACATCAATAATTCAATATGGATCTTTTCCAATGCAAAAATGGCTATAACATAAAATATAGAGATAATGAGCAAAGGTTTATGTGATAGTAGCTGAGTTCATCCTCAACACATCCTTTGAGCACCGACACATTTTGTGCAATGTAATGTCAGTTATAAGACTTCACCTGAACAGCTTCAAGCTCTTCATTTCTCATTTTAAAATGACTCTACTGTAGTTTAACAGTCTGACACGAAAGGCTGATGGTGCATTCCCTCAAAGAATACTAGGTCCTTTAATTTGATATAACCTGTTCCTATACTCACTTACAGATCTAATATGTCTTTTAAACCAATTCAAGATTCTTAACAAACTTGTATCGACTGAACACGATAAATTTGGGCAAGTGAAAGTCAAACACGTGTGGTGAAGAGGATTTTTTTTATTAATAGGATTTTTTTGTCTCAAAACAAACTGAAAATGAGGTCAGTGCACTTTATTGTGTGTTAACTACGTATTTTAGACACAAGTTCATGGCATGCATATAAGAGTGATTTATGTTACCAGCCTGTAGGTTCTTTGTGGTCTTGAGCAGCAGAAACAGGGTTTGACTCTTCAGTTTCAGTGTGGTCATGTGACTTCCTGGATGTGCACTTCACTCGGCAGCAACAGCAGAGCGCACCTCAGCCCTTCTCTTTCTCTGTATCTGACTCTGGCTGTGACAGATATCCTCACTGATTGTAGCTCACTTGCAGCTTTTTTGCATCCAGTGAGATCTGCAAATCACCGAGGAGAAGATGCTGAGGCGAAAGCCTTCAAATGCCTCAGAGAAGGAGCAAACTCAGAAGAAAAAAGTAAGTATATTCAGTTTGGTTTGAAAAAGAAAGCACGGCTGATGTGCACAAAAACGAACTTTTAGTTTGGTCGATTTTACAAACTTGTGTGAAACATTTCATACGCTCAGTTGCCTTTGTGTGCTCAGCTATTAATACATCAGCTCAAGTTAGAGCAGAGCTCTGAGGTGAATCTGAAGAAACCTACAAAGACAAGACAAAAAGGTTGTTTTTGTCTAAAATAGATGATTTTTAAAAAGTATTCTCCATCTATTCTGCTGCAACTTAAGTTCCTCTATTCTGCTTTGATGATTCATTGCTGCAGATGTAGTTTGAGTAGAAAAAAAAGCTTTGTGGTTTGTGCAGCTTTCGTCTCCAGTTGTCACTAACTGTGTGAACCTCCTACACTCGACACCAGGGCCCTGACTTTCCATCCACATCTCTGCTCCTGTGGTCAAATCGTCACACTCCTCACCACCTTCGTTCCCGGCAAACATGTCCAGACTCACAATAACCGTCACAGGGAGTGATCAGCACCAGAGAGCTTGCTTATTTGAAGGTTTTGGCCTTTAGCTATAAAATCTGTCATGTCAAAGGTCATTGTTCGTCTGACTTCAAACAGCAGTTTGATTCTTCAGGTTTGCACGCAAACCGTGAGCCGCTGGTGCCGACCAGATGTTTGCAACCACTGGCTGCCATCAGTTGCTCAAACTGTTGTCCATTTCCTGTGGTTTTAACAGAGAAAAAGGGTGAGCTACGATTAAATCAGATAAATTGGTTGGATAAATTGAAAATTTAGACAAGAGTTTCCAACGTTGAGGCAAGAAATTTTACACCTGAAAAACTCTGCAAAGGAGCAACAACTGTTGCTCTTTAGGCTGAAAAGAAGGCTTTAGTTTTAGAATATGAAGAGTAAAGCTGAGCTGGTATAATCAATAATAAGAAGTAAAAGATGTAACATTTTTCCATTTGTAGGTTTTGTGTTTGTATTTGAAGACAGCTTCTTGATCATGAGGAAACAAAGTATTTCCAATTTTTGAGACATTTGAATTGTTGAGCAACTAAAAATAATTCAGAGAAAAAACAGCTTCACAGAATATTTATGTTCACATGCAAGCAAGCTGCTAGCTACCCAACCTTAGATAAATAATGTTACTAATTGAATTTGTATGTATATGAATGTTCAGTGCCCCAAGATGACTTCTGTTGTGACTAAATTGAATTGAATTAAATCTGTTTTTGTGTATAAGATGCTGACACCTACCTAAAACTTGCAATGGGTTAATTTTAAAGGCTTCTGTCTTTTTTTTTTTTTTTGGTCTGTTTGAGTTTTAGATGTTCAAAGTTGCTTTTCAGGTGCACAAACAGTTTGTTTCAGGACATAAATCACCACTGGTTGTGTCTTTTGTGCTGCATTTACAAAAACATTAAAGCCACAAACGTCAGGATTCAGATTTCAGACTGTGAGGAAACACCCGGTCACTTCTGTCATTCTTAGAACTTCATCTGCACATTCATTGTGTTGGCACATTTTTGTAGAGATAAGAACATAGTGCATATGTGTGTGTGTGAGTGTGTGTGTGTGTGCACATTTGTGAGATCAGTGTTATCAGTGTTACACCAAAAAAACACCAAACAACCAACTGACATGTTTCTTTGATTCTTTTTTATGCTATTTTGCCTGGTTCCTTTGTTATCATTTACAATTTTTCATTTTACTTTTTTCATTTTGCAGATCACCTTGCAGAGGTCCAGCAGCTTTAAGGACTTCATGAAGCACAAACCCACCTCTCCTGTTGCGTCAGACAAGGAGTTCAGCTTGGAGGAAAATGTGAGTTGTTCCCCTCAAACGTGCACATCTAACACAAAACTTAAAGAGACTGGAAAAGTTGAAGTAGAGTCTTTATTTTTTGTCTCTTTAGGTTCCTAAATGATTGTTCCTACAGATGCACCTGCTCACAATGTTCCTCATTTATGTGTAAATTACATCCACCTTGCTGCATCTAGAAGAGGCAGGGCCCAGTTTGTGTGTCTTTATTTGTACAATAGTGCTTCCTTTTTTAAGACACATAAGTGAGCAGATGTGTAAGTTCAGTATTTACAGGATAGATTAATCACTTCCCAGCAGCACACAGCAGAGTAGAAGTTGGAGGACGAGTGAGTGCAGAAGTACAGAAATAGAGAGGAAGTCAGAACGAGAAGTGCTGCAGAGCAGATGACAGCAGCGAGCAGACAGGATGTCCTCTGGTGACAGCTAGTCAAGCAGAGAGCCTTTGCATCAGACAGGCTGAACACAAGCATTTCAACATAAACCTGATGGCCTCCCCTGGAGAAAAGATGCCTTTTGGGTTCAACGTCATCAGCATTTCACCTCCACAGATTAGCTTGTACATAAAAATCTGTGATCTGAGTCTCTGCAGTAGCTTGTCCTTATGGTCAGAGCAAACCAGCAGCTGCCTGTCTTGTCACACAGACCTGAAGCAGCAGATGTTCATGTTTAGTACCTGTAGAACCACCATCAACACTTTTGACAAACTGACTCGCTGAAGCAGTGAGAACATTTGTTTTGAAGCAGCTCACCACTATAGACAGCAGGTGTGAGGTTGTGACTTTGTGGCTATGCGTGTGTGTGTGTGAGGGGGGAGGTGCAAGTGCAAACCTCATCACCATAGAGTCTACAGGTTTTCATGTTTGTGAGAATTAAAGATGTGTGACACGACAGCAAAGCCACCAGCATAACTAATTATGTCAGTCTCACATGTGAGTAGGGATCATCTTTAACCATCACTTTTATTTCTAACGTACAGTGCAGTACCCCCACCACCACTATCCTCTCAAAAATGCTACAAGATATGTAATGCTTTTGTTGTTGTTGTTTGTTTTTATTTTTCATGTCAGGCAGCAGAAGCTGTGACGACAGAAGAAGCAGTGAAAAGTGGCAGCAAACTAGGGAAGAAATGGCGCAACGTCATCTCACGCACCATGACCCGAAAAACATCCAAGATGGTACAGAAGGCTCTAGCAGAGGAGGGGGTAAATTGATGCACCACAAATAAACACAAAGTATTATAACAAACATATTATAGTAACAACAGCATGGTGCGCAACTAGTAGAGCTGCTGCCTCTCAGCGAGCAGGTCCCTGGTTCAAACCCCGGTCCGGGGGCCTTTCTGGGTGGAGTTTGCATGTTCTCTCAATGCATGCGTGAGTTTTCCGGTACTCCGGTTTCCTCCAACAGACCAAAAACATGCATGTTAGGCTGATTGGTAACTCTAAATTGTCCCTAGGTGTGAGTGAGAGAGTGAATGGTTGTTTGTCTCATTTGTCTCTATGTGTCCCTGTGATGGACTTGCGACCTGTCCAGGGTGTACCCCGCCCCTCGCACAGTGATTGCTGGACATGGGCACCGGCGACCCCCATGACCCAAAATGGAAAAAGCGGGTAAAAGATAATGGATGGATGTAAACTAACAGACACACACACATAACTTGCTTACGTCCACATTGGAGGTGCATGTTTTAACAACCTACCTTAGGAGACACCCCTTTCTGAATGGTTTAGAGACAAGCTGGTAAGTAAAATTTTTTACTCTAAATTCACAGAAAACAAATGTTACCTGAATATTTTGTTTAAATCATTTTTTGATAAAAATTATTTTGCCACGGTGTCCCCAAATGACTGGTGTGAAAGCTAGTTCCAGTCCCCAAATATAACAGAAACAAACACACACACACACACACACCCTACACACTTTTCCTTCCGTTTTTATAACTTTGTCGCCGCCTTGTGGACAAACAGTGCACTGCATTTATTGAGGCAAATGCAGGATTTATTTTGTTTTGGCTTTTAGTGGTTGAAAGAAACTTGATACTTTTAATCAGCTCTCACATTTACTTACTTTGTTCGGTCCAATTTTTGTCATTTTTAAATATTAACTTACTAATTTGTAGAGATCTCTAGGGTCTCTATTGTGATGCACAAATAAGTGTTGTTATTACCGCAAACCCCTCTATTAAAAATTAACTTTATGCTGTTTTCACAAATTAGCAAAGTGTATTTTTAACAAATTAGTTTATAGAAAATATGTTTTTGATATACAGTAGTTTTACTTAAATGAAAAAATAGCATTTCTACAATAACAACTTATCTTCATCCATCCATTATCTTTACCCGTTTATTCCATATTGGGTCGTGGGGTCACCGGTGCCCTTGTCTAGCAACCACTGTGCGAGAGGCGGGGGACACCCTATACAGGTCACAAGTCCATCACAGGACCACATAGAGACAAACGAGGCAAACAACCATTCACTCTCTCACTCACACCTAGGGACAATAGAGTCACCAGTCAGTGCAACATGCATGTTTTTGGTCTGTGGGAGGAAACTGGAGTACCTGGAGAAAATCCATGCATGAACGGAGAGAACATACAAACTCCACCCAGAAAGGCCCCTGGACCATCTTATCAAGAACTAGATATGTGGTATTCTGGCTGCTACTGGAATACTAAATAACGTAAATACTTGTCCAACATTGTTCAGTCAGGTCATCTGGACAGTTTCTTTTTTTTTTTTGAGAAATGTTTCGCCCTCCATCCAAAGAGATTCATCAGTTTGAGAAGTCACAAACAAACAGTTTTCCCCACTAAGCAGATTGAAACAATTTGAAAACAGTTTGTGACTTCTCAGACTAATGAAGGCCTTTGAATGGAGGGCGAAACGTTCCTCAAAAAAAAAAACTGTCCAGATGACCTGACTGAACAATGTTGGATTTTTTTACCTGGATGATTGAGCATAAACTTAAATACTTTGTCTATCATCACATATATCATAGTTATTTTGTCTCCATGCTAATTTCAGAGCTTATACAAACCTGAATATCACTTTGGTTTTGGATTTAAGCATTCTGATAAGGCTTGTATTTATGAAACCTAATAAAATAGGAGTTGCTGAGTTATTAACATTAAAATTAACCAAATACACAAATAAAGGAAACATAACTAGTATTTTATGAATTATTGTGTATCTCCTGCCGCCTTGCTTGTCAAGGGTTTAAACAAACGGACTGACTAAACAGATTGTGTGATCTGTCAATGATGTTCTGTGGATGACTCTCACCTACTACCGCACTCAACTTTAGCTCAATATCTGAATAATTGACTGAGCAATAGCACTTTTGGTGCTTTCAAAGGTTGATTAGCTGCAGTGGCCATATTGGGTTGACTCCAAATGTAATCAGTTTTAGACGTACATCCAATGATTACTTCCTGAGAGTTGCATTCAAATCCATCTGGTGGTTTATGAGATATTACAGACAGATTTACACAGAGTTTTTTACATGATTGCCTGCCTTTTGTGGCAGATGGCAATAATAACTTTAACAGGTAAAAATAAACATGTTGAGATGTGTTTAACCTCAATCAGGTGATAAAAAGTGGAACAAGTGTTTTAATTAATTAACTATAATGGTGCTTCTTCTCTGTTTGTCCTCTGCACCTCCAGGGTGAGAGCGGTGAAGAGCTGTCCCCCACATCCTTTGACTGGCATCCAGATCTGGTGGCGGGACAGAGGACGTCTGTGTGCTCCACGGGCTCAGAGGACACAGCACCCAGCCCCGTTAGCCACCAGCTCTCTGGCAGTGAGTATGAAACTCTTAAAACCAGAGAACAAGATGGAGAAAGTTTACCTGCAGACTTTACCTGCACAGACGACATTAGGTTCAGTTAGACTTTCTCAGAACAGACAGGTTACAAAGAAGAATGTGGGCTGAGGAAGTCAACAGAGCCGCCAAAACTTTAACTAAAAAACGAAACTTTTCAATCCTGTAATCTGGAGACGATGACCTAACCACCACTTTATTTTGTCTGCTGTTTCCATGACAACAGTCTTAGACAGCCATTGACAGGTAAAAACGTTGATGATGGTTTGTTGTTTAGTAGATATTTAATGAAGCAACAAGAAGGTCGGTTTATTTATTTACGCATTTATATTTATTAAAAATTGTGTAATTTCATTATTTAGTTTAGGGTTGTTTTTTTTTTTTTATAAAAGTTTGAATTTACCCAACCCCATAGACAACTTTGTGTAAATTCAACAAAATTTGTGATGTCTAACTTGTGTTTAAGTCTAAAACTTTGTGAATTTTATAAAGAAAAACCTTCCAACTTTAAACTATAAAAAATTTTTTTTAAATGGATGCACGTCAGCAGCTGCTCTGCAAAATGGAACAGATTAATAAAATGTAGCTCTCTTCTAGTAGCAACAAATGTTTCGTTCAAAAAAAGTCATAAATATAACTAAAGTTGCTTAAATTATTGACTCCATTTACATCCTTCAATGCATCATGGGAAATGAAGTTCCAAAGTCAAGCCAGAGAAACAACAGAAAAGGCTGATTAAATCCGTTTAGAGTGTCACATGAGAGAAAAAGATTCAGTTTGATTGATTGTGTTTATCGGGCTCAGTCTCAGGATGAATCTTCTCTGTCCTCCTCAGGCAGCGACAGGCAGAGCTTGGACAGTGGATACTGTCAGAGGGACAGTATGAGGCTGGAGGACAACAGCGTCTCCTACAATGGGCCCTTCTGTGGTCGAGCTCTGGTCCACACCGACTTCACTCCCAGCCCCTACGACGTGGAGTCGCTGAAACTCCAGGTGAGTCTTTGTCTCTTTTGACCTTTGGCCTCGTCTGCTGTCTCGACCTCCAGGGAGCTCCTTAACACCCTGAAACACGATCGTCTTTGAAAGCAACATGCAATTTACAAACCCGATCGCTGACTGCATGAGCAAATCATGCACTGATTCTTTACCAGAAAAACCTGTGTAAAAAAATTCAGGCCTCTGTGAGATCTTATTTTCTACAACAAAGGGATTCTTATAAAGAAATCCTGGACTGATAATGGCCCATGGTGCAACAGGGAAGGGTAAACTCAAAATAAAAGAAGTTTTTGTTTCTTCTACAGAAAGGAGACATCATCTACATCATCGACAAGCCTCCAGTGGGCACCTGGACTGGGAAGCTCAACAACAAGGTGGGCTCCTTCAAGTTCATCTACGTCAGCATCCTCCCAGATGAAAGCCCCACAGCCAGGAGGAGGCGCTGCAACAGCAAGAACCGTCTATCCAAATCCAAGCCCAAAACCTTGGAGGAGGTCCTGGACAGCATAGGCCTGACGGTGAGGTCCTGCACTCATCATCTCTCTCCACCAAGTAAGCCCAGATCAGTAAAGACTTTTGTTCTCTTGTGTTCCAGGAGTTGAGTCCCTTACTGTCCATGCACGGTTTCCGGAGCCTGGAGGACTTCACAGGACTGAAGGAGTCTCACCTTAATGAGTTGAACATCACAGACCCAGAGCAGTGCTCCAAGATCCTCAATGCCTCAGACCTGCTCAGAGACTGTAGGTTTCTACACTGCCAAGCTCTGAAACATTTCAGCCTGGTGCTGTTCTACAGCTGTTGACCCCAAAATAAATTCTGAGTATGTGGGGGGGAAAAATAAAACACATTTAAGTCATAAAGATTTGGCCTGATTCCTGATTCAGAGTTTAGTTCTGAAGCATCAGATTTAGATAATGTAAAATCCTGATTACACTTTCTGCCTCAGCTGAATAACGAGGAACATTTAAAGCTCCACTCACAGCATGTCACTGTTTGCCTCATATCTTTGTTCATTTGAACTCCAGACGAGCACTTTATGGCTTCTAAATTTAGAAGCGCAGTCTGTTTTTGGTTTTCTCAAATTTCCATAAATCTACTACTACCAACACTAAGATGAGGAGAAACAACTTACTTTTGGTTTTGAGCTCCTAACTAAAGTTAAAATTTACTGATTGTGCTGAAACAAACTCAGTCTGTTGCAAAATGGTTACCAAAGGCAGTAAATGTATTATTTATTTTAAAATGTTATAAAAACACCATCCAGAGCATGTTTACTGTCACTTCAAATATCTAATAATAATTTAATCCAATAGCATATTTTCAATTAGTCACTCAAACTAAAAAATGAGAAACAGTTCTTTCAAAAACTTACATATGGAGAAAAATTAATGCCTGTTTTACAGAAAAATTGTTGGTAAAATATTTCTGATTATGAAAATACCAAATAAGGCTCAAAGCTAACAATAAACCTTTGAACTTCTGTAAGACTCAATGTCTGTATTCAGTCAATTACAGCTTTCAGATCATTTGATGCCAAATTAAGCCACAAATATTAAAACATCCTCACACAACCTGACTTCAAGGCAGTTTTAACCAACAATTTTGGTATAAAACACATCAAGTGGCATTGTGAAAACGAGCACCACGAGAAAAGTGTGGATGGCTAAGAAAACGATTGTAAAAAATATTACTTATAAACTTTTCTGCCTGCACGACAATCCAACGCAGCTTCTGTGGCAGAAAAGAAAATCTTTAAAAATACTTTTTAATATTTCTGGATACAAAATTAAACCTTTCCACAAAGCTGTGAAAGCTGAACCCGTCAGAGCTCAAGAGGATTAGAATACTTATAGAAATATATAATAGAAACTTTATCAATGGGTTTTGTCTCATGCAGCTGAAGATGAGTCGGAGCCAGAGGAGGAGGACAGGTCTGGGGAGGACACCAAGGAGCCGAGAGACTCGGGCTGCTTCGAGAGCCCAGACAACCTGGAGAGCGGACGTGAGGAGTCAAAGATGGAGGAAGCACAGAAAGAGGAGCAGGAGTCAGAGCAGACACTGGAGACACAGCCAGAACAGCTGGAAGCTGTGCAGGAGCAGATTCAGGAGCTGACTGTGGATGAGGGACAGTGAAAAAAATACACAAACTTGTTTCTGGTACTAAGAGACAGTAAAAGCAGGTTTTAGAGCCACTAAAATCTCTTTTTTTAAGAGCTGGCCTGTTTCACATCAAAGCAACTGTCTCAGCTGGGGTCGTTCTTCTGAATGAAGTCTGAAATGAGACACTGACGTGATTACTTTGACCCAAGGGCAGCAGGTTTAAGACAATGTGGGTAAAGATCATTAAGATGCAATGCAAGCATGTGAAAGTGTTTTTCTACTCAGCCTGTCAAGGATTTCATGCTGTTTTCATGAATGTAAAATATTTTCGTGTTTGTCGTGTAATGAGTGCAGCTCTGTTAAACTGATGTCTGCGACTTACTGTCATGAGGAGGTCCTGTAAATACAATAAAGAAACTTCAGGGGTTCAGCAAGTTACAACTTTTGCTTCCCACCTGATCATCACAACTCAGACATAAATATCCCTGATTCAAAGAAAGTATCATAATCTGTTTTAAATCGAGACAATTCTTTGTAGATTTCTTAGTAAATAATCATATTTTTGGGTTCCAGATGGTTTAGCATCCTCCCAACATAAAAATAAGCAAATATAACTTGATCTGGTCTGATGGTTTAGTTGATATCATGTCACCAGCTTCTACTACAGAGATGATCTCCATGGCAACAGAGCAGCATCCAAATTTAGCTGTAGATCAAGAATTTACTACCAGAAAAATGCAGGTGAAGTAAAAGATTGGATTTAACCTCCAGTCTAACTGTGCAAAACAACAAGAGAAATACATCAGTGCTTTGACCATGCAGTTTTACTCTACACACTGAACATGTTCTTGCGTTACCAATTGTGGTAAAAAAAAAAATGTGTGAAATAATAGCTAAGAAGCTAAAGAACTTCAGAAAAAAATGCATTATGTTTAAGAAGAACAGACAGAAATGAAGTTTAAAAAGTAAGCCTCAAAGAAACTTTTGTTGTGCAAAAGCTACTAGTTATATTTTAAAAACTCAAACTTTGAGCATTAGAAATCTCTGACAGTCACATGTTTGGATTTTTATGTTTTTTGTCAGTGTCATGAAAAGTCAAAAAGACTAATTTTCTACTAGTTGCATGTTTTTGTTTTTTGAAAGCTGAAAAAATGTGAATTGAATAGTTCTGAAAGTACTTTAACACTTGTGATTTGGCAGTTTAATAAAGAATAGCACAAACATTCGTTTTTCACACAAACATTGACAGCCAACTTTGCAACCAGGGGCACCGCCAAGGGAGGGCCAGTGGGGCATTGGCCAATCCTTAAAAAATTGACGGCCACCCCACTTTCCCCCCTTGGCCCAAAAGTTTTATCCTCCTGAGTCCTGAACTTTTGCTTGGTTTCCATTTTTAATTCCTCCTACCTATTTGGGATTAGTAGAATCTCACAAACATAAAATCTAACATTGTTTTTGAGCAATTAGGAGTTAAAAACATAAATTTATATGTGACTCATCACGTTGATTTAGGATTAGGACCCAATCAAGAAATCCTCATTTGAATATGGGCAAAAATAAGAATCAGATTGACCTTCCAGGGGTATTTTAGATTTACAAGATAAATCAAGCCACATATCTGGAACCACCTATTAGAATGATTAAGTTATCTAATAAGTGTAGCTTAAAAAACAGGAATCTGAAAATATGCTTAGATTAGTTTAGCCCAATATGACTTGATCCCTGATTTGATGTGATGGGTCGCATGTTTTATTTAAAATTCAAAATAAATCTTAAAATCTAGTCCTCCTGAATAAAGACAACTAGTCTAAAACTAAAGTCCTCTCATTAGGTTGTAGGGTCTCAGGAGGGTTATATGCGGCAAATAAATTTAGAAGCGGACACGCTTCAATAAGTTGAGCAGTGACTGATTAGGCCTGAGCAGTGAAGCTATTGTAATCGCTCTTTTCAGGCCCGAGCTGCAATTTTTTCCGCCAAATGAATTGGAGTTTTGGGGGCCTTAACATATACCAAAACTCACCAAATTTGGCGGACGCATCAGGACTGGTGAAAATTTACGTGTTTTAAGGGCGTGGCAAAAATCTCAACAGAAACGGCTCAAGATTCTCCAAGATTTACACCTTCGTGCTGGCGAGTTCCAGGAGCTGCAAGTTGGATACGATTCTTAAAAATCGTATCCAACTTGCGGTTGAGCTCAGTAAGCATGAGTCTGAGAGCTCGAGACACAAATTAATCTTTCACATATGCAGCTTTACCATGGCCGAAACTGCTGCCCATGTTTTCCTAATTTGTCTATATCCTAGGTATCCACTGATTCCAAAAAGCAGAAACCCTGTTGTCATAAATCCAGTAATGTACACATCTTCTACGTCCTCCACGGACAGCACAAATAGGCAAATCATCTTCCACTCACCCCAGGAATCAATGACATACCCAGCTGCATGGGTCCATTCAGGGCATGAGGGCTCTCCAGCACCATGTCGTCTGGTGGAACACATTTTATCAATTGCATTGAGGGACCAGCTAGCTAAATCCATAATAATTTTCAATTCGGAAGATATGTCAAGAGAGGCTCTGAGGTTGACAGGACAAGAGAGCAAAAAAAGCAGGAGAGAGGGTAACCGCAACCGTCTTCGTTGGGAGCGAAAGAGAGAATGATAATATCAACAGTATATTAAAAAACAACTAAAATAGACCTTTGTCTAATTCCAATATTGCTGTATTTGTCAAATAATCTGCATATGACAACAACACAACAAATCTCCGAAAGTTCTGTTCTAGATTTTGGTTTTGGTGGGCCACCCCAGGATTTTTAATGACCCCCACATGGCCCCTCCACTAAAACATTTTTGAAGGCGCAACTGTAAAAAACTAATGAAGAAGAGGCGAAGAAGCAAGGAGCCACAAATGAAATTATTTGAATTGTCTGCAGCTGTCTAATACTACTGTGGTAATTTAGTTTCCTCACAATGAAATCAAGACGGTCTACTCCCGCACGACTTCTAACATCTCATCCTCGGGGGCAACAATATCTACATCTACAGCAGGATTTATGGTGTTCTTGTTCACAGCGCTTGAGGAAAATTATGTATAAAAAATAGTTAGTGTGCTAAAAACCAATAAATGTCTGAAACAAAGTGCCATCTACCAGAAGCAGTCGGAGAAGCTTACTGTAGAGACCTGAATAACGTGTGTTTGAATTATTTTTGTGTATTTTTTAGGAATAAAAAGGTGGAAAAATGAATTCATGCCATTTTCTTTTAACACAAAAATTCTGGCAGACAAAAATATCCACCTATAAAATAAAATAAGCAACTCCCATTGAAAGAAAATATATTTAAAGACACTTTATAGTAAGACAACAATGTTTATTTACTGGACACACTGATCATGTAAAAAGAAGTGGAGCATAATATAAATGAAATCCATGTCATCACAGTGTTGATACAAAACAAAGTGAACACAAAGGAGCACTGGAGCTGTATACATGGGGCGATGTAATAAACTGATCAGAGCATTCAGATCTGATCACCGTTTGAACACAAGAATCATAAATACAAGAGTTCAAATCATCAAACTTCATTTGTCACTTTAAAATGTGCTTTAAAAACACAAACGCCCCTTCCAACAACATACACTCCTGCTTCTTGGTAAATTACTAAACTGTCTTTAACGAAGTGAAGTAGTCCAGCTTCAAAAACTGCTTTTGGTTTAACAGTTGATTCAAGAATTGTCCACGTTTTCCAAAACAAAAATGCACAAAATACTGCCACACTTCGGCAACATTTTGGATAATCTGTTTTTTCCTTGACATTGCACAAAATTTCCTAAATGTAAACACTTAAACAATTTGTTGAATAAAATTGAATTTTTACTACAAATTTGCATGTATCAACTTCAACAAGTACCGGTAACTATTTCTAGACTTTTTTTTTTTTTTTTTTACCAAAGCAAACTCAGACTGATTTTAATTAATTGTGAGCTTTAATCTGCTATAAAATTATAATCCCAAGATTTTAAAGTGTTTTCGTTTCTCTTGTCCATAATATTTTTTAAAGATTAATGAGCAACTGGGTCTGTTCCTTCTCTTAAATACAATACTGGAAGTCTACACAAGATTCACAAACACAAACTCTGTCTTGCATACAACACAGTCAACAGCACAGACTCTTGCTATCCGCTAACAACTTCTAAAAACTAAGAATTAGCTGGACTTTTCTTATTTCCTTTTTCAGAGCACAATCCGGCCTTAGAATAAAAAAATTGGAAAAAAAAAAGTATGTATATATCCTTCTCTCTTCTCTGTGATAACAAACCTGTCGGAGTCATACAGCTGCCTCGACAGTGAGCACTCTGCAGGAGCAACCGTCAAAGCAAAGATGTAAATAACTTGAGAGGAAAGAGCAAAAAGAGTCAAGAAAAAGAAAGACTCGGAGGAAGTTCAGCTCTGCTGTGATCTGCAGGAGAGCTGACCCGAACAAACCATGCTTACTTCAGTCAGTAGTTTTCAATCAGTAGGTTTTACAACAATTACGCCTCCGGGAAAAATGTACAGTTTGAATAATAACTTTGAAACTTTGCAAGCAGCGCTCCAGTTTCTTCCCCATGAGAGCCACTCACTGCTGCGACTACTTTAGCAAAGAGTGTGGTTTCTTAAATTTTCTAAAGAAATCTGAAACAATGCAAATTAGAGGTTAGTTCTATTTTTTAACTGGATAAATTTCAAATAATGTATTAAATACACGTCATGTTTGTTTTTTTACTGTCAGTTAAATGAGATCAACACCACCACTGAACTTATGATTAAGATGTAGCAGCTAGTTAGCATAGCTTAGCACAAAAACTAAAAACAGGTAGCAGGAACGCTAGCCCTGTCTTGTTTATTTAAACTCTTGCCAGCACCTTTAAATCTTAACAGTTAACAAGTTGTAACGTGTTGCATAAAACATTTTTTCAAGCTGGTAAATGATGTTCCTTTAGGAGTTTTCATGTCATTTTAAGCTAAGCTAATACGCTAACCCAGGCAACTTGCAGTACCTAAACTTAAAGTGCAGAAAAGTGGTACCAATCCTTCAACTCTGAGGTGCTCTATGTGTTCAACAGAAAGTCAGATCGGTATTTTAATTAAACAATATTGGATTTATTTTGTTTTCTTTTGCTTAACACTGTCAGAAGAGTTTTTCTTTTGGTTGACTTGAGCTACTAAAGTTGGCAGAACTGTTTCAATAAGGCACTGTTACTACGAGTGTCCTACGCTCACCAGGCCTTGTCTTACTTTTCTCAGTCTCAGAGGCTCATTATCATCTGAAAATTTGATTTACTGAGTGCCAATATCACACAAAACACTTGCTTTTGTTAAAAAAAAATGGAAGGAGAGCTGTTAGTATTGAGGAGATTGATTTAAAAAAAGATGCACGTTAGTGACAACAGTATTGAACGCAGCAACATCAGAAGACAAGTTAGGTTTTGCATGGGAGGAGTCTGATCAGCAAAGGATTTAATCATCCTCCTTCTGCCTGAACATCTTGTGTACTTACAGAGGTTATACTTGTTTATACCCACTCTTTACAAAGCTGCTTGTCCAGCCTTCCTGTGGTTTGCATAGGGTATGTAATGTATGTACATCAATGTATTTACACACATCCAGAAATCCTACCCTTGAGCTCTGATTCTTCCAAATGGTTTATCTGAGCTGGCCGCTTACAATAAATTTCATTATACAACTTCAAATGAAGAACGAACGTACTGACGATCAGTGCAAAGTCTCCTGGCATCATTTCCTCTGTGTTTCTTCTCCTTGCAGTCAATGTTCAGGAGACTGGAAGCTGCTGACTTTCCATTTTAACACCACCACTCTTCCTCCTCCTCCTCCTGCAGGAGTTAAATGTCAGTCAAATAGCTGTGCAATGGCTGCTGGGAAGAGAAGGGAGGAGAGGCTGCAGTAGAGGCTCCTCTGTCACAGGAGATTTTGGGGGTAAACATCAGTGAGTCCCCTCACAGTAATCAGACTTTAATTATCAATGTTGTGGATCGAACAGGATGCTGGAAGAACGGCTCAGACCTGAAGCCGCCTGCCTTGTGCACCTAATGGGTCTTGGCAATGGATGTCTCTGCATCGGTCTCAGGTGAAGCCAAGGGTGGAAGCTTCTTCGACGGGAGATGCTCTTCTCTGGGGCTTTTCTCTTTGGGGGAGGGGCTCTTCTCTTTGGGGGAGGAGCTCTTCTCTGCTGAAAAAACAATGCTGGGTTTGACTTCGTCCGGCGTGTGCTCGTTAGGGATGAGTGGAGCTGTGGTTTTCTGAATAGCGAAGACAGATCAATTTATGACAAACTAAACTGAAGACGTACTCAAACAGCAACATAAATCAATGAATTAATAAAAACTAAGGGAGGTGAGTGGGGTATTTAGTTAGAGTAATACAAAAAAAACCCTCTCAACATATCTCTTCTATTTGTTATCATAGTGTGTACCATAGAGGGTTAAGAAAGTGTGAGCATGTTTTACCATTTAGCAGAATCCTAACTAGTTCATAAATATTTCTAACGAGTCAACAACATTTTTAAATCAGTTAGAAGAAAAAAACCGACTGTGGTACTCACCGTGGTTTGTGGAACTGGCTTGTTTAAACAGGAGGGAACTTCACCGTTTTCAAAAACAGACGAGTCCTCCTGCATGAGTCCTCGTCTGTCCAAGACGCTGGAGGGTGAGACGAGACAGTCAGTCACTAACTGAGTGCTGCTTAAAACGGACCAGAGCAAGGTAATCTAAAAGTTCAAGTTGTCATTGACATCAACACAGGACTCACATACAATAGAGACAAAAAGAAAAGTGATAACAAATAAAATGGAAGTCAAACATCTATGCAGATACCTCGGGTACGCCGGCCCACAGAGAACCTCACAGCAGTTTTTGATGATGTTCTTGTGGCTGTAAGGGTTCTGGATTCTGTTCTTTCCCGACCAGGACCCTTTAATCTGCACAAAATGAAATGTATCACAACCTTCATCAACATCCCAAAGCCTGCCAGCTCACTCTCATAAAGGTTCTTGTGCTTATACTTTATTTAAAAGCTCACTTCCATTTTTAGATTTCATTCCCACTGGATTGGGTTTGACCTACTAAAGTGTATCTCATCAGGATTTCAAGATTCCAGGTTTAATGGGAACAAGGAAAGCATCAAAAAATTAAAACCGTTTCAGTAATTCACTGACAATTCTCAGAATCCTGGCAAAAAAAATTTACTCTACAATGAATACATCTTATAGTATAAACAAGATTTTATTTGCATCCACTGTTATTTCATATATCTTTAAAATTATTTTATTCAACACAGCATCAAATGTAAATATTAAACATGTTTGTCACATAAGTTCAAATAAAATTAGTTTGAACTGTTCACAGATTATGTCGTTGGCATTTTCTGGATATTCTCACTGCAGAGCGAAGATGATTATTGAGCATTTGTGTCATCACTGATAGCAGTGAAGCAGCTTGGGCATGTGCACAGGAAGTAAGAGCCTCTAAAGTTACAGTACTTTAGGAACTGCAGAGAGAAATTCCTGCATAGTTGGGATTAAAAATAATATAATTTAATGTTCCAAATAATGAATAGCAAAAACATGTAAAGGCCTAGCATTTCTAGAGGAAATGTGTAACATTCACCAACTTTTACGCCCAAGTCATAATCATCTTGTGTTGAGAAATGACAAAGTAGTAGCTGTTTGGGTCAAACCTTGAAAATAAGATTAAGCACGATCTTATGTGATGTTGCAAAATGTTACGCTCAATGTACAGTATAAGTGCTATGTGTTTTCATCACTGTATTCTCCCATACATTGATGAAATTGGTTCTCTATATTTAACCCATTGCACCTGGGATGCACCCAGGTGGGGCATTGGGTAGCAATTGAGTGCCTGGGGAGCTATTGGGGATTGGATGTCTTGCTCAGAATCTGACTTGACTTGACTCAGAGACACCATGGCATGTGGGAATGGCTGGGAGTCAAACCGTGACTTTCTGGTCCCAAGTCGGCTGCCCTTCCTCTACCCCATATGTATGGGTTGTGAGTGACTCTCAGCTACTACCACATCAAATTTTAGCACATCTATAAAACTGGCATTTTAGGTTGGCTAATGTGGATCAGCTGTGCTGGCCATCTTGAATTGGATTGACTCCAGAAGTTAATCAGCTGTACAGCTACATCCAATAATTACTTACTGCGAATTTCATTAAAATTTATCCAGTGGTTCATGCTCTATTTTGGTTACAGACCGCTGCACATTACTGTTTTTTCTTTGCCCCCCCCCCCCCCCCTCAATTTTTATTTAAAGGAAAAAGGCATGATGTAACTAGAATAAATGTATGAACTCGTTAAAAAACTAAAACAAAGACTGAAATAATTTAAATACAAGTTTGATCTAAATTTAAGTTAGAGTAAACAGAACTATTTGATAATATGACTCATCCAACTCAGGATGAACTGACTGACCCTGCACCAGTGGGACCCAGGACCTGGTCCTTAAGGACAACAATCCTGCAGGTTTTAGATGTTAGGCACACCTGATTTGAATTTATTTATGATTGAGAGTTTTCTGCAGAACTTGAAGACTTGCAAGAGAGCAGGGAAACAACTAAAACAGGCAGGATGGAGGTCCTCGAGGACCAGGATTAGACACCACTGCCTTATTCGGTGTTCTGTATGTAGGTCCTGCTGCAGGTCTCTGAGCATCTGTAGGACCAAATGAGACAACCAGAACAACTACTGTAAAATGTTCAGAGTGCGTTCACATGTTTGTCCTAACTGCTCTGGTTTACAGCGGTCTCTCTGCCAGGGCAGGATTTCTGGCTGCGTTCCCAGCCCCTGCAGGTATCGATGCATCTATTTTTAGGTTGATCAGAGACGCTAAAACGGACGGGCTGACGGCCATCGTCTCGACAACACGTGAAGCAAAAATCACACTGTAGGTGCACGCTGCAGCAGGTTCACTACTGATTAAAAGATGAAAAAATTAGGCCAACCATTCCAACGGGAAAAAATAAATAAGGAAAGCATAAATTAATCATTTTAACAAAGTGAGTGCACTCAGTTTTTTCTTACAAAACCTCTTCCATCATCAGTACCAACGCTTCTCATCAGACAGCATCCCTCCATAGCTTCAACCACTGCCCGCACTCATCGTCTGCTTAACATCACCCTGAATGACTGTGTGTGTTCGTTTCTGGGTGTTGACTCTAAATAACATCTGCACAGCTGAAAGCAATCAATTTGATGTCCTCACTTTGAAGCTTCTAAAAGCAGCCGGCATGGTGAGAGACAGAAACCGTGGAGTCTGCTCTGAACTCAGATCCGTCATTGCTTTTAATAAGAATAGCAGCTATTTATACGTATTTTTAGATGATTAGATAACACCGCCGAGCTGTCCAAGTGCTGCTTTTAGCTTTGAGCAGATTTAGTAGACGTTACAGCAAAAGGCTCAGACTTTAAGCACAACTAAACTGTGCCTGACAGCGATAAATAAATAAATTACTCAAGGACATGCAGGCATTAAACCATAAAAAGGACAAAGACTGAATACGAGTGGAACAAACTCTTATTTTAAAACTAGTCTTTTTTCTAAAGATAAATAATTTGTTAATTTTTTTACCTCATATTCTCTTTTAGTTAACAATATAACAGCCTTGTTCAACAAGCTTACAGTTTACCAGCCCTCTGTCCTTCAGTGATGATTACGGTGGTGCTGTTGTCATGGAAACAGCTCTGTTGTCATAGAAAATGCAACGATTACTCCTTGATGATGTATGTTTGTCTTTCCAACCACAAGAAGTCAGCTTTCCTGATCGCTCACATTGAAAATACTGTACAGTCTATTTTCTAACGTTTTTGTCCCTCAATCAAATGAAACTTGTGCTTTCAGCTTCAATGCATCTTAGTTTACTTTTAAATATGCATATAAGGGTTCTTTTGATCATCTTTATTTCAAGAGTTTAACAGTATTGTTAAATGTTGCTCTGATATCTGATCTGTGCTATCTCATTAGGACGAGGATGTAGCTGAACTTTTGAATTCAGCTTGTTGTAAAAACACCAACAGAAATAATGATTTAAGCTCTTCTAGCATTTAACGTTGCCTAAACAAAACTGTAACATCAATGGCAAAACCATGAGAATTAAGGGTGCTGAGGGTGCTGCAGAACCCCCCGAATGATGCAGAAACAGATGTGTGGCCATATGTCTAGTTAATTAATTAATGGGGGGATAATAACATTTTATTAGCGATGAACATGCATAAATTCTAATAATATTTTGATAATACATTTTTTGTACATGTGGTTTATAAATCAACACTAGTGTACTTTGTAGATTTGAATGTAAAAATTTTGCAAATACAAACAAAAAATGGGCATAGCATTAGGCTATGTTCAAAGATGTTGTCTGTTAAAAATAAACAACAGACTGTTTTATTTAATGTTCATATTTACATAAGGCTGCATTTCACTGCATATTTTTGGTATTGTGATATTTATGATTTGGTTGTTTCCCCACTCCAAATAAATGAATAAAAATAAAACACGTTCCTACAACTAAAAAACATTCAAAGATTCCAACTTGATGCAGAAAAAAGTAGTTTGAATCAACTAATAACCTAAAAAATATATATGAATTTTTTGCATTTATATATTACCAAAAAAAAAAAAAAGAAACTTGGGCTGGGGGGGAACAATGTCCACCTCTATAAATGTGCTGTCTCCCCACCTCAAAGAAAAAGGAAAAGATTTCTATCAAAAGGAGAACAAAAAAAAAAAAAAAAAAAAGAAAAAAAAAAAAAAAAGAAGGAGAATAAAAAGACTTTATATGAAAACAGCAGAATAAAACTCCACACACTCCCCTGTGTGGGGTTCAGATATCCGCATGTCCAAACAAGGGCTCTACAAACAGAACCCAGGCACCCAGAGGACCTCGTGTCTTCATGGCTTCATCCAGGCAGACGGTGAAATATTGTTTATTTGTAAGTGACTTGTGTGTCTCCTTTAGAAACATTGCCAGCACAGCAGAAAACATTAATCTGACAGGTTAGAGTCAAACGGGAGCTCTGTTGGTGTAGAGTCAAAGTGAAACCACTTCTGCTGTTTTCTATCCACACAATAAGAAACATCATCAACACTGAAATACAAGAAACTCTCAAACCATGTAGGGTGGCTTGTTTTAGGGTGTCAAACTCTCTTACAAAATGGGGTCAAAATTAAATACATGGTCCAAGGTACGGGTCAGTTTCCGTCAATACATTAACTCAAGTCAGCCAGACATCTTTTCTTGGTTGCAGGTTCATCAACAGGAGTTTAATTGGTCCCATTTGATATTCTCTGTTACTCTTCCACACCAAAATCAAAGGCCAACCTTTTTTCTGGCTTCAAAGTTAGCCAAACTATCATGCAAAATCTGCATTAAATGAAGCATGCACAGTTTTTTAAGCAAAATGAGAAGCAATCTAAACATTTTACATTGAAAATATCATATTGGGGGAACAGATACGATGTTAGCAAGGGCCAGATTTGGCCCGCGGGCCTTCAGTTTGACACGTGCAAGATGACAAAAGTTGGCTTTGGAAGAGCACCCACGTAAAGATGATGCATGTGACACAGAGAAGTTGTGAGATCATTTTGTAATCACTAAGTACTAAATGTAAATGAAAGAGATAATTTATTACAGCAGAAGAAACTGGACACTTCCTAATGAGACTGAACTGCTGGTATTCACTCATCCAGCTTAATTTCCCTTCGTAACATACACAATTTACACATATTTTTTTCTTTTTTGTTGTTGAAGTTGTTGATTTAATGGGTAGTTTTGTAACTGTAATTGTATTATATTTATCGCACCTTGTAATTTACATTATTTTGTCTCTTAGACCAGCTTTATTCACCTCAGAAAGGAATAATTACCCTTGTGTTGCTGACACTAATCTGAGGTACTACAAATAAGATATTTTAATTATCATGAATTATGTAACCTCCTGTATTTGAACGTGCATGTGTTTGTTTCTCTGTCATGTTAGCAAAATATCATGAACCACTGAACAAATTTATTTATTCTCCCATAAAGTAAAAATTTAATTTAACCTCATTCAAGGCTGCAACAGCCTGCTGACCCAAATAAACACAATAAATATTCAAACGCCATCAAATTTAAAGATATGGAGCTAAAATGTGGTTTGGTAGTAGCTGAGAGTCATCCCCAACATATCAATATATAAGGGGCATTGAAAATATTGAGGAAAAGAAAGGTTTTAATGCACTCACGTCCTCGTTGGTGGTCTGGTTCAGGGAGATCAGGTAGGTGTGGAAGCCAGTCAGTCCCACCACCGACCACAGGGTGAAGAAACACACCAGAACTTCCAGCACCGTGAGTCCGAGTTAAGAAAACAGCAACACGTGTTCGCTACCTGACTGACACGCTGATCAAACAGTGAACAGAAGGTGAGACGACAGACGATTATACAACACCATTAAAACCAGCGTCAGTGGGAAAATAAAAGAGTAACCGAACGGGGATATTTGAGCTTTTACAACTTGTACACTTTTAGAAATAATTGATTTAAATTAATGCCATAAAATGTCATATTGCTGAAAAGTAGTTCCTGTTTTGTACGCCTAGCAGATCGCGAAAAGAACATTAGCAGAATTACATTTAATTAAATGAAACAGAAAAACATCTAAACTTGGATTATTTGCTCTGTGAGCTGACTGACACCAACACCATCGTTCTGGTTGTATTGTCTTGTTTTTTTTTTTTTTCATCTTTTCATTTGGTTTTTAGTCAAATGATGGCAAACCTTCTTCCAACTCAAAACAAGAGAAATGAGTGGAGCCACTAAAAATAGAAACGATGTGTTTACTTAAAGCAGTAACTATAGGAACAGGAAATCAGCACTTGATTCAACAACTTTCTCCAACTTAGCAATGCCAAAACAGAAACCCTACATGTTGGCACCAAATCTACCCAATCCTTAGTTTAAAAGATTTAAACTAATCATATGAGAGCTGTCAATTTTATTTAAAAAAATACCATCTTATAATACTCTAAAACGATATTTAATTAATTAATACGCTCAGGCTGAAGCCACTTCAGCGCAAATTAAGTGTTCTTAGCAACATGTTATTTAAACAGTCTTAAGTAAATCTGAACAGTTTCAGGTCAGGATGGAGACATTTGATCTTCAATGTTCATGATGTTCATCAGATGAGACATTTAAAAGGATATGTTCCAGGTGTTTCCTTCAAGGTGTTCAAAAAGCCTTGATCTACTGAGCCTGCGCAAAAACAAAAAAAAATCCACAAAAAAATACATAAATATAAACTTGAGAAATTGCATCTCTTGCAAAAATGCAGTGTGAATGCTTATTGCTGAATGATTTCTGTTGAAAGCGGCTAAAAAGGCTGAAACCAGCTGAAAAGGTTTTATAGCTACACTGTTAGAGTGAGTTGAGCTGGAACAGCCGACAATTACTGAAAGCAGGAAAATAAAAGCGGCGGACAGTAGTAAAATAGCAGAAATGTAGAAAAAACATACTGAATAGAGCAGAAATGTAGCTGAATAAGCTAAAATAGGCAGAGAGAGGCTGAATAGATTAAAAAGAAAAATTTTAATTAGCAAAATTGTAACTTAAATGAACAGAGAAAAGCTAAAAATAAGCTGAAATTAACAGGAAGAGTATAAAAAGTTGAAATTATTTAAAGAATCACAAAAATTTAGAATATAATGCAGAAAAAATGTGAATTTAGCAGAAACAAGCTGTATGGAGCTTCAAATGCTGAAGAAACTGAATGGAGCTGAAGTGAAATCAGCAGCAATAACAAAAAGGCTGAAAGGAGCTGAACAAAAAGCCGAAATGAGCAGTAAAAGGTTTTAAACAGTACAAATGGTTTAAGTGAAGAGAGTTCCATTCATTTTCAATGAGAAATACATGGCCCAAAAAGCTAAATATTTCAATAATTAAAATTGCACAAATACCAAAACTCATATCAGGAATGTCCTGAATGAGCCGAATGTTTTAATGTCTGAATTGTTGAAATAGTTGAAAAATTGCAGGAAGATACGTGCCAAAAACATAGAGCAGAAAAACGCACCTCAATAGTGAGAATGCTTTAGAAACATATTATTATTACACTTTATTTACATTCAAGCTTCTAAAAAGGCACAATCTTTATACTACATTCATAAATGGTCCTTCCAGTCTTTTTATTTTTATATTTTTACTCAAACTCAGGAAGCGGAAGGTGATGATGACACAGTTTTGTTTCAAAGCTGTTGTTTGCGGCGCATCAGGTTTACGTACTGAGCTTGTGTCACAGCTCGTCTTTCCAGAGTTGCAGCATTTTTGCCACTGTGCATGTGTAACCTTGACAAAAAAGGATACTCACGCATGACCACGTGGACGATGTCGAAGGTGAAGATGTAAATGGTGAGCAGGGAAAGGGTCAGGGTGAACAGGTAGAAGTATCTGTAGTTCCTCTTGCCCACACAGTTGCCCACCCATGGACAGTGGTGATCGAAACGGTCTGAAAACGAGCAAAAGATGCAAATAGGTGAAATTTTATGAATCAAATGTGGTAAAAATAAGCATCTTTGTACATCAGTGTCAGTAATCCAGCAGTCTAAATATAGTGAACTTTTTTTCTTTGTTTCTCTTCCTCTATGACTTGGAGTGAAGCCAGATGGGAGGAGGGCAGGATCAAATGAACAACAGAGGTAACACTTTTCTCTGCAGCAGCTCCCCGGATCACGTTTCACAAAAATATATGTTAAAGCAAAAACACAAGAAGCTTGAACAAAATGAATCATTTGCTTCTTTGTAGTACGACACACAGGAATTTAAACATGCTGTTGGTTTTAAGAGTTGGATTTTCAGCTTTTATTGATGGAGCTGGAGTGAAATTTGACACATGCAGCCGAATATTTTGGTGAAACCTCAATAATCTCAATATGGTACCACCTTTAATGAACTGCGCCTAAAGCAAATAATGCTGTTTCTGGGTTTGCCTCTGCATTTCCACAAGTTGAAGTCACAAAATTGCAAGGAAATACACACACTTTCACTTTGAATCACATTGAGTTGACATGTTTGTCACGTTTTTGTCCCCTCTTGCCATAGTTTCTGTCCCCCTGCTCTGTTTTTCCTTCAGCTTCATGCCTCAGATCAAGCCTGCTCCTGTCACCCTGCACCATGCCCACTCTGCCTTGTCACCTCAATCAGCGCTCACTTGTTGCACCTGTTCTCCTGCCTTCTTAAGATCCATGCTCACTCTCTACCAGTGCCAGATTATCAAACCTTTCACAGTGTCCAGTGTTCATGCCACACCCTTGTTTGTCTGCCTGGTTCTGACCTCACGCCTGTTCCTTAGATTCCTCGCCTTACCTGTCCCTGATCTTGTTTGGATATCTCTCTCTGAGCACAGTACTAACTCTGCTCTCCATTACATCGACTACGCCTATTGGATCTCGTTCTGGATTAAGTTAAGGATTTCTGACCACCTGTGTATGACCCCTACTTGTTCTACTGGACCTCACTTCTGGATCTGCCCCAAGTCTCTTGCTACACAACCCTCTTGCTCAGCTGCATTTCACTCACTGCTGGTGATGTCATTGGATCATCCTGTCAGGATTCCTTTCTCTGCCTGACTGTGAAGGTTAGTGACTGCCTGGATTTCCCTGAGAACCCTTCACAGTCAAACCTATGAGTCTTAACATCTGTCTCTACAGATTTGAGCCATCCACAAACCCAGACCCCCACCAGCAGCTCTGCTTTAATAAACTTTTTAAACCATTCCTGTTGTTCGGTGCCGTTACTGAATCCAAAACCAGAATCTTGTCACTGCATCTGTTGCTCAGTTGTTGAGTGTTGCACAAACTGCAGGTGAAATTTGAGCCAAATTTGCCGGCAGTTTCATCTGTGGCGGCTGTGGCTGAGTGGTTAGAACAGTCGTCCTCCAATGCAAGAGTTGGGGGTTCAATTCCACCAGCAGTCACATGCCGAAATGTCCTTGGGAAAGACACTGAACCCCTCATTGCCTCCGATGTGTGTCCCATCAGTGTATGAATGTGATCTAAAGCACTGATTAATCGTTGTAAAGATCTAGTAGACTCCTGTATGAGTAAATGAGGGCACAGATTGAAGTGTAAAGCGCTTTGAGTATCTCAAAGATAGAAAGGCGCTAAATAAGTACAGTCCATTGACCATCTCTATTACACTATAGTTGCAGGTCATTGGTGCATAAATATAAATTGATATGAATAAAGGTTGAATGAAAAAGGTCAGTTTTAGCCACTTTTATGGGACAAATTTGTTCTCCTGTTTGGAGATAAAGGCTACCTTGAGCAAAGTGCAATAAATATAACTTTTCATTTGTACACTCAATCAGCTAAACCTGACACTTTCAGCAGTCCTGTATTAAGTTTATAACTAGTGAAAATTTCATGGACACGTTTCAAGGACAGTTTGTGGCTGAACTGAGGTCAAAATACGCGCTATAAATTGTCTTGTCATTGGTGTGATATGTTTGTTTTTTAACTATTGCTCCATATCTGTGGTCGGGACGGAGGCAACAGGTCCAGGAGAGAAACCCATACCTCACTCTCCCCAGTGACACTCTCCAGCTCTGCCTGGGGAATCCCAAGGTGTTCCCAGGCCAGAGAGGACATATGATCTCTCCAGCGAGTTATGGGTCTCCTGGGGCCTCTTCTCAATAGTTCAGGCCCAGAAAACCTCCAAAGAGAGGCATCCAGGAGGCATCCTAATCAGACGCCCAAACCACCTCAACTGACTCCTTTCATTGAGAAGAAGCACTGGCTCTTCTCCGAGCTCCCCCCGGATGAGGCAGCGCTTCACCCCATCTCTAAGGCTGGGCCGGCCAACCTATGAAAGAGGCTCAATTTCTCACTGAGCTGACCTTTGATGACATTCTGACAACAAAACTGCAATTTTCTTTACATTTGTGCTGTCCGCTCAGACACAAAAACAAAATGGAAGAAGAACACAGTGGTGCAATAATTATCTAGACAATCATGTGGTGTCCCTAATGTCCAGGTGTTTTTGTTGTTATTATCTCCAGCCAGTAACATTTTAGTTTCACAACTCAAGACCTCACAGAAGTCGTCACGCCAAATTCTGAAGGGTTTGAGATGGATTCCAGACACCTGCGACAAACCCTCGCAAACGTTTTAAGACATTTTGGAAAGTTCCTCACAAATGTTCACAGTTTGCTGCCAACAGTCGCAGCCCGGTGTGATGCTGCTTTATGTAAGCACAGTTCACACACAGAAATGTGTCTGTAGAACCCTTTAACTTTTACAAGGTTCTGCCAAAAGCTTTACTCTGAGAGGATTTGTGTGTGTTTTGTGATCCTTGTGTCATCTGTCCTGCCCTCCTCAAGTGTTTCTCCCTCATGTGATCATCTCCTCCTCCTCCACCTGTTGTCCTTCCCCAGGTGTTTGTGTTTATCCCCTCATTAGTGTGCCTATATATTCTGTGTTTCCTTATTGTTCCCCTGTCTATGGATTGTCCTGTATGGGGTCGTGTTCTGTCCTCCCTCCGTGTTTCCTTGTTTAGAGAGGAACAAGCAATTTTTTTTTATTAATACTCTACGCTCCCAGATTTCTGTCTGCACCTTGGGTCCAACTAAACCAACAGTCATGATATACACGAATACTTGCACAAATCCTCTTGCAGCACCTCTGTTATTCTGTAAATGTGCCTTCTATATAAGCCTCACTTTTTATTTATTGAGCTCAGTGTCAGGGTTCAGTTTATTGGTTTTAGCTTTATTCTCAGTGACAGCATGAAAGAGCACAGAGAGTTTAATGTGCAGATAATTATTGACATTAGCAGCTAATTTACTAAATTACCATCAATAATAATAGTTTTAGCTTAACTCTTCAGTGATGTTTGTTTTACTACGAACCACCTTTAACCAAATTTAACTAAAATCAACAGCTGAGAATTAACTCAGCTGTTTTAAGCCTAATCTTCTGAGTAAAACAACAAGAAGGAGAACTTGGGGCAGATTTTACCCTCAGAGCAGCAGAACCACCGCCCTAAGTGTTGAGTGGGTCCATAAAAGTAAATTAGAAAGAGCTTTGTAAAACTTTAAAATTGGAAATAAGACAATAAATGTTGCGATTATCTTTGCTGTATTTATTTTCTTCTTCGCTGGCAGACATCTGTGATGCCAGATTGTGTGACAGAAAGCTGCTGAGACACAGAAGGGCTTCAAGCAAAATCTCTTTTTTTCCATTTATTGCTTTATAATGTGCCAAATTTGTGTCTGAATATGTGGAAAATGTGCAGTTTGTGTGTTTACTTTTTCCATTTTAGAAAAGGCTAAAGACCGACTGTTTTCCAGAATGATGGACCAGTTGATTAATTTATAATTTACTCCTCTCACGGCTGAATTACACATCCACTAACTACAACTTGTTTTACATCTATAAACGACAAGTTTCACGTTATGGTATCCTAGATCAAGGGTGAGCAACTTTTTTTTTCCCAGCGAGTCAAATTGAGATATTTAAGCAATCAGAGGGCCACATAGATAATTGAAAAAGATAATCTAGAAATCTTTTTCCAGGGTTTTTCTTGTTGTAACATGTTTCATTAAAAATCTGTCTCCCCATTACTCTTCAATAATAATATAAGCCTTGAATTGGCCAACTAACTAACTATATCAAACTCTCCTGGATGGTATGTTCCTGAGGACATCTGTGGACCTGTGTCAGAGCTGAGCCGGCTGATAGACACTGCACCATCTCTTATCAGGACTATGGAACTATCTGGAAGTGTCCACGGACAAACTCATCGTCTTCGTTGGCCTCCTCATGCATAACTATATTATGATGTCATCAGTATGCTGTTTCTGTGCTGAGGTCTTTCTTTTTACAACTTTCACACTGTGTCCCATCTAGAACACAGAACAAGATGATTTTTTTATACCTCCCTTCCCCTCCCCTCATGTTTCTCTTTTTCTTATCTAAACAAAAAGGCAGCGCCTCCCAAAGGCCGCAGCCTCAGACACCTCCGTCTCCCCATGTCTGTTTGTTTATGTTTTCTCGGGCAGGCAGTACTGAAATGTAATTTTGTTGTGCTTTGGTGTAATGACAATAAAGTTGATTCTGATTCTGATAAGGCATACTCTCTGTAAACAGGCTCTTGCCATTTGTTAGCTTAAAGATACAAACAAATGTTATATGTTTGCTTTTTGAAGTCTTTAAGTTTCAGTCTAGTTCTGGAAACACAACTTTATAAAATATATATTTTAATATATTTTAATCCACATGTTGTTGATGTATTTGTTTAGTATGCTTAATTTAGCAGTTTTATTGATAAAATGCAAGTGATCAACTTGTTTAAAAGTTGTTTTCTTTTCAATTAAGGATTTTTGTGGCCAAATAGAAAGTATCCAAGGGCCACTTTTGGCCCTCGGACCAGCTATTGCTCACATTTGTCCTAGATGCTTTTGCTGGTTTTACAGAGCCTAAAAAGTTGTTTTGTTAAATGTAGACAGATGTCATCTACCAGAGTAAAATAATAACAAAGAAATGACCCAAATAACAAATCAAAATGAAGAATTGAGTTTGTGCTGAGAGATATGCAGATTTTGTGTTTAGACCACATAACCATTTTACAACTAGAAACAGAACCTTAAATGTATGCCAGTCCTCACCGAAGGTTTAGGAGTAATAAGCAAGTTAGCAACAGCTAACTCAACAGCAAGCATTCTGCTCAAATTCGAACAAAGTGCCGCCCCACAGAGCAGCATGCAGGACTGCTGACTGTTAAAACGTCTTTCTGGAGTCACACAGATTTTCAAACTGCACTCAGAGTGCAGCAGGACGATAATCCTCCACGTTGTTCAGTCGATATTAAAGCTGCAAGCTCTGCACTCGCTTAATAATTAAACTGATTTTCCATTTCTTCTATGAGCGGTGATTCAGCAGCCTGAACATTTACCTGCACTTTGACCGCAAGAAGTCATTTCAGATGAGATGCGTCCATAAAAATCAGTTAACCTGCAGCCTGTAATGTGGCAGGGACGGTTCATGATTAAAGGCAAACTGAAGCGGTAGTAAAAATGTGGCTGAGGCATGCAGCTGTGTGACGCCAGGTCTGTGTGTGTGTGTCCACAGCAGGTGGACACAGTCGAACCAGTGTTCACAATGACTGAGCATCTATTCTCCAACTGAGGCTCGCTCATATCACTCGTGACTCTGCAGCTTCCTTCAGAGACACATTCCTGAATTATCAGCAGCTGAAGCCCTGTTCTTCTGCAGTGTGGAGAGATGATGCAGCAACACACACCCACACACAACCTAACACATGCATAGTTACTATTCAACCTCTCTTCAAAATTTAAAGCATAATAAATCCTTCCATGTGAGATTTTATTTCATTTTCTGAAATTTTTGCTCACTGTCTGCTTAGTTGAACATTCATGCATAAAGCCTCTGAAATCATTAAATCACTGTGACAACTAAATTAAATGAGATCATTAAAACTGAAGTTACTTCCTCAAACCTCCTTATTTCTGCATAATTAAATACCCTCGTCTCTCTGCTCCATACAAGGTTTTATTTGATCAGAAGAGGTTTCGTACCGACGCAGTTGTCACAGATGCTGCAGTGAGACGCCCGCGGCGGCCTGAAGATCTTGCAGGTGTAGCAGTACTTGAGCTTCACGATCTGGTTGTTGATTTGGACGTTCCGGATTCGAGGCGGGGGTCGCTGACCAGCTGGGACGTTTCCGTTAGCAGCCTCTGTGGCAAGAAAAGACAAAAAAAATGTGGTCATCAAAAATCATCAAAAGGCAGGTGATCAGGACAAGAAAAGATGAATAAATATCAGTAACAAGTTTGATACAATGTAATATTTCCTTAAAGCAATGCATATCCTCTGCCACCTTTCATGCCAGAGTTACAGACTAAGATCTTTTGTTGAGAAATAGCAGTTAATAGCAGTTTTGATTAAATCTCGAAAATATCATTATGCATAAATTTACACCATACGACCTGTTAGCGCTCATATTATGTGTTGGGGATGACTCTCAGCTACTACCTCATCAAATTTTACCTAAATATATGTAAAATTGACGAGTTACAGACATTTGGGTGGTTATGGTAGGTTATCTGTGGCAGCCATCTTGTGTGTCCAATTTTCAGTTTCAGATGTGCATCCAGTGATTACTTTCTGAGAGTTACATTAAAATCCATCCTGTGGTTCATGACTAGGCTGAAATCACTGACTGACATCAGTAGGCTGTATCATGTATGAATACAGTATCTATGTATATGACCTCACCATCATAATTCAATTTCAATGTCATCACCTGTTCAATAACCTGTCACACAACCCGTGTAGTATACATTAATTATGTGATTGATATATATATATATATATATATATATATATATATATATATATATATA